CTTAGCCAGAAGTGGTAATCTGTAGCGCTAGGTCCTTCGGGCTCAGACTATTACTTAGTATTTTGTAGTACTGTGTAGTGTAAGCCAAACAATGTGCTTGGTGGTTAGGATTAATAGGCCTACTCATTGTGACTGAGAGTCATTGTTGTTTATATGGGGTCATATTATTTAATTGAGCTTTTGCAGTACATGATGCAAACACCACTTTTTGAAACAAATTTTCATAGCTGTGAGGTATGGTACCTCTTGAAAACGGTGTAACAAAAGAATTCAGATCATGAGACCATGCATTTTTTTTAAGCTGACAATTTCACTCACTATTCTCTTGTTTCCACCCAACGGCAATCTCACCATTTGTGTTTATGACATCGCATTTGCGTCTGGCCAGTGGCCAAGCTTGCTTCATATTTCGGTTTGACCATTTTCGGAGGCGGGAGGGATGGCGTCTTGTTTTCATTGGGCGACCGTCCTTACTGGGTGACATGTAAGCTGATACCATCAGGATGAACATTATGCGCTGTGTAACTGTGACAGATTGCAGGATCTCAGAAATCTCCCTGCCCCCACCTCCACACTATGCTTCCGGTTCAAAACGATGTCATACTTCGGTACTCTATAGCCTAGCTACATCAGAGGATTTATAAATTCAGTGAAGTTCATGTATCTTTACGTTCTTGCATGTGGCTGAAAAAATATGGATTTATGGTTGTCCGTATTTATTGCAATACAGGTCTTGAAATGATGTCGCACGGTGATGAGTCAATCCACCGTCTTGAGGGATCCTCAGACCAGGTGGGAGGACTCATCATCAAGAAGAAGACCACAGCCAAGGAGGATGACAAAAACTCCTTCAAGTTACCTCAGCACCGCTCCTCCCTCCTGGGCCTGGATCGGCTGGCTGCTGCCAAGAGGAAGGAGAGGGAGGACCTTGAGGAGGAGACTAAGAAGAGGTCAAAGGTTACCTCCTACAGGGATGATTGGGAAGATGGAGATGATGATGTAGAGGAGGAGGATTATGAGAAGGAATCCTCTCACAAATCCTCTCACAAAAGGTAGTCAATGGTTGCCAATTTTAAGCAAAGCTGAAATGAAGCTTTAATTGTTGAATATTTTTGAGTTGAATCTCCATGCAGCAGAGCCAGCCATAACCTGAGATCTTATTTGTGTTATAATTGGGATGAAGAGGTTGACTTGACAACTGTCAGATTGTCTAAACATGCTGTTTTTTTGTGTGCCGTAAATTTGAGGTTTTCCATCAATGTTCTCTAATCCAGTCCGTGTTGTGATGCCCAATTACCATGTATTCCAGTGTTCTGATCGATTCCTGGATTAGCGTAGGCAGATCAATAGCATCTCCAAACTCTCCCTCATCCACCTGACTCATTTTTCTGTGCATGTCGAGCCTTTCAATTTCCCCATTTGATCTTCAAGACGTTAACTTCCATCTCTCGTCCTCTCAGCCGTAATCTTTATTATAAAACCCAGCTTGATGGATGTTTGATATCGATTGCAGGCAATACCGAGCCCCCCGTATTGAGACCCCCTCCCACCCTGGGGGAGTGAGCAATGCTGTTAGGGACAGACAAAGACAGCGAGAGAAGGATAGCCGGAAGGGCGGAGTCTATGCCTCCTCCTCCAAAGAACAGGAGGGGAAGAATCGACGAGACCGGGAGAGAGACAGGGACAGAGGTCAGGGCAAGAACACAGGAAATTTGATGGATTTCGGGAATGGCAGACCCGCGTTTCAGCTCATTTGGCACTGTACTCTGAAAACAAGTGAAAATCCATACATACTTTTCTTAATATGAAAAAAGGCACAATTTTATTGATGGTGAGCTTCGGAAAGGTCAGATTATTTTGAGCATGACACATTCAACTTCACATTTGTGCATGTGCACTAGACAAACTCATCCCAGCTTAAGACGCTCAAAAATAGTGTGATATTGTGTCACTCGAGGATAACAGGTTGTCCATAATTTTTTACGTGAGTTACTATGAAATTGGCCATAATAAGTAATAAAAACACAACAAATGAGTTGAAGATTTCATCAACAAGAGTACATCAAAAGCACTTGTTTCCATTTTTATCTCTATGACAGACAGGAGAGATCGTGACAGACACCGAGACAGACACAGAGACGATGACAGGGAGAGAAGGAGGGACCGCGACTCGGAGAGGAGCAGTCGTAGCGTTCGCAGTGAGAGGAGTGACTGGGAGAGGACACCAAGTAGAGACGATGAGCCAGGAACGCCGAGAATCTCCAGAGGTTGGGAACCGACCAATCCCGTCATCTGTTATATCCCCTCATAACACCTCACCCATAGATTCTGTTTGTTTACTGGCGGAGAGCAGGTCACATGATACATTCTGTTTTGCTTTCCTAGTGTCTGTATCCAAAGAGACCATTCTACAGCCCAAACAAACTCGAACATCACATCCGTAGAGTCATTTCTATGCTCATGCTTCTGAGAGATTTGTATAGTGATTGTGTGATATAACACATAGTGGATCTTTCATTCAGTTACAAACTGAAATGTTGGGACATGCGTATCTTTCTTGGCTAATTCAGTTTTGCTGAGTCTTAAAATGTGCAGTATCTGTGAGTGAGGTGTGATCTCACACAATGGTTTGAGGAGCCGTTTTGAGTATTCTGCCAAAAGAAAGCTCAGTCTTTGCACGTCACATTTGAGGGACAGTGTTAGTGTTCCTGTAACTTTTAAAATTAAAAAAAAAAGAATCATTGTCGCTTTTGATATCTTCTTATATTCGTTTTTCATCTCTCACTGATTTGTGTTTGACCAAAAAGCATAAAGCGTCTCCATTCATTTGCTGTCTTTGCTTCAGGGATAGTCACCCCATCACGGTCCAGTTGGGACGAGGACGAAGACAGCATTCCCCGCAAAGCGCCCTCAGCCTGGGACTTCCCCACGCCCCAGGTGCCGTCGGGTCGGGGCAGGGAGCGCAGTGAGAGGGGAGATCGCAGTGTGCGCAGCGAACGCCGGAGCGAGCGCAGTTCCCGGAGCAGCCGGGACAGAGACTTGGACAAAAGGTACGGTGCTTGTCGCATTCTGGCCAACGCAGCGAACAGCCAAAGTTGACTGCAATGGCTTTAGACCTACCTGTTGCCATTCACCAAATCTCACTTGGTTATAGAGGGCTTCCATAGTGTACTCTCATTCATGGCAAGACATTGAACAAGTCTTTTTGTTGGTATTTTCAAGGCTGCATGAAAAATGATTTTGAAATTGGAGGATTCAGATTGTTAGGGTCAAAAGTGAGAATGGGTAATTCTGATTCCTCCTTCTGTTGGTAATTAATTTGGGACTTTGTTCCATGCAGGGGTGGATCCAGACGTCCAGTAGAGGACACCCCCATGATGACGCCAACTCACCGCTATAACTCCTGGGCTAGTAACAGAAAACGCATGGGAATCACCCCAAAGATATCCGGTAGGTAGTCCTGAAGTCAACGAAGACACCAAGAGATGACTTGCCTCACACCAAATGTGCAAAAGTTTAGGGGATGTCTAAAACTTGGTGTCTGCTAGCGGGAATGCTGACCGTTCTTAACTGGGAACATGTGCAGTACTGGAAGCTGAAGTTGGTCATATTTTCTTCTTTGGTCGTTACTTCAGGAGGAGACACAGTGGAGCGATTTGCATCTGAATCGGAACGCCAGGAGTGGGAGGAAGAACAGAAGGTAACAAAGTAGACCCAAAATAACAACTAGAAGTTTGCTGAATTTGCTAACAGTTTCTGTCACCCACACTCACTATTCCATTTATTGTCCATCCTCCCCCTGTTGTAATCCAAAATACCTGTTTATTGAGTCACCATCCACAATAGAAAACGAGATAACTAGATGATATACCAGAGTTAAGGATGACTGAATAATTCATGGAGGAAGCTTTGTGTAGGGTTTGATCAGAGCAACATCAAGAGCCAATTACGGGGTATTACCAGACCTCTTGCATATTTATGATAGGCAAATTCTCACTGGTTCCCGTTCTCCATCATATGGCAATTACTATTGTTAGTTGTTTACCAGGCATGCAGACAAGGATCCATGCACGAGTCAAAATATGTGACTTCTGCAAACATCGTAAACCTTCACCTTGGTAAGTAGTTTGTTGACTTCCAGCACTTTGCTTCCTGTGTGTGTGAAAACAGAGGCTAGATCGGCAGTGGTATGGATCTGACGAAGGCTACGATGAAGCCAACAATCCGTTTGCCTCCATCCCAGAGGAGTACACGCAGAAGAGGGAGAAGGAACTCCTTAACAAGGCCTCCAAGAGAATGTCAGCTCAGCAGAGACAGATTAGCAAGGTGGTTTGGGTTGTGTTGTGTTGGTTGGATTGGGTTGGGCTGGTTTGGGTTGGGTTGTGTTGGGTCGGGTGGATTGGGTTGGGCTGGGTTGGTTGGGTTGGTTGGGTTGGGTCAGGTCAGGTTGGG